CAAATGCCAATCGAGCCTTTTGTATGCGCGCCGACACTTCATCTGTGATGCGTCCGCCAGGTGAGATATAGCTACCTAGAACGGTTTGTTTGGCAAGGAAATAAAACACAATACTCACCCAAGAAGTCTTGACAGAGCACGAGCATGCACCGTACACCACGCCCGCGCATCACAGCAACAAAATCGACCGCCTGTAGCAAAGTGGCCAAAGACGGATAGTTATAGCGTTGTGGTCGTAGCGGAATGCCAAAACGACGCTGATACACCGCGCACAGTTGGACTAGCAATAGTTTACCCTGGTTTTGTCTGAGAAGTTCCCGCAATTCCCGTGCGAACATGATCAACGGACGTAGCGATATGGTGCTTGTGGTCGCCTCCCAATTGGTCACTGGGTCGGGGCTCGAGGCGGTGCCAACAGAAGAAGGAGCTGCCAGACTATCGGTTGTGCGCATACTAGTGTCTGCTTCAGAAGCTGTCGAGGATGATGGAGTCATAATCACGGCAGATTCACTGATTGTGGCATCATTCCACCGAGCTGAGCCCGAGGCTCCGAGCAGTGCATCATCGGTAGTGCGAGTAGATAGCTTCTTGAACTAAAAGGAATGAAAAGAAAGTCGAAAGATCATAGATGACTAGGATGTTCTGTGGAAGGAGAAACTGTCAACCGAACTCTCATTTACGGATAAAAAGTACTTATCATTCTAATTGCATCGACCCATACTCGATCCCTCACATTTATCGTTATTATATGTATATGCATGCATGTATAGAATAAATTTTCACGGAAACTCAAGATCATTACTGAATACTAGAGAATTAGAGTATCAAGCTTGTATTAGCTCATTCTATTCTTCAGAGGCACTGGGCACTCTTGATGGTCTTGGATGAAGGTTTCACTCCTTGGGAGATCGTTAATTCCCCACGAGATAATGCATTCAAATGCAATGGAAACGTTTGTGATAACCGACAAAGAGCACTGGACAGCTGTTTCATCCTGTTTGGAACTCGTGCCTCTAAACAATCGAATGGGCTAATCCAAGCTTGATACTCTAAAAATTATTGAGCCATTCGCACAAGGCGATGACCGTCGGCCGTATAGCTCAGAGTTAAGGGTTTGAATTCCCGGCCCGGCTGATCACAGTTCGAGTCCTGCACTGGTGATAAGTCCCAAACAGGAAGAAACATCTGTCCAGTGCTCTTTGTCGGTTATCACAAACATTTCCATCGCATTTGGACCAGAGTATTAAGCCTATTCTGAAAAGCACAACCACCAGCCACCAGTTTCGGAAAGTTTCAGGTCAATGTCTCTCATTTCTATTGATTCGCAAGTTCTGGAGAGGTAAGATCTATACCTATTCCGCACCATCCCAGCGTACAAGAAGAAAAACCGTTGTCTCCTAACAATCAAGGAAGATACGTTGTTAATTGCGTCATTCCTAATGGTTTCTCAAAGGTTGATTTTATTTTTAATCTTCTTCCATTAAACAATATTTAGTAGTAGTTGTTGTTGTTGCTGTTTGATTAACCAACTTATCGTTTGAATGCACAAGTAAATTTGCTCAAATATGCTCGTATGTGTGTTAAATTAGGATAATTATTATATTCACTGATTTCATTCAATCGATTGATTCCAGTCGATCAATGATGACATACAAAAACTGTTACCCCTCGTCTGATTCCTTAGTGCATGCTGATACCAGTCTTATTTCTGATTCGAATTGACCCGAATTCAAGGCATATAATCTTGCTTTCTTACACGTGTCCCATTATCTGGTCATAATCTTAATCCCAACACGTGTCTTGAATTTGTTTTTACTAATAGACAGCCTCTATTTTTCAGCGGTTCAAAGACAGAAACAAGAAAAACCAATGAACGAAATCAGTCAGGTATGTGAAGTAAATTATTTATTAACATTGGAATAAATTTTTCATTGATCTGCACCTACGAAGAATGTTGTTCGTGCACGGAAAACTGTTTGGTTCACAATAAGTAAATTGCACCATTGTCCTAGTGAAACATCAGTAATAGGACTGTTTTTTAGCAGTTCCTCCTCCTCCCCTACCCCACACAGGCCATTTGTTTTCATTAACCTCTGGGACCCTCACGACACTCGGCTATCTGGGAAGAGTTAAGTGTACGCTGTAGCAATTCTTCCGGTTCTGCTATACGGTAGCAGACGGTCAGCAGATAATGTGGAGACGAGGCATGAAGAAATACAGAGAGCGATTAGGTCGCGTAGTAGTGTCTCTCGTCTTTCGGGTTGAGNCGGGTTGAGATTCAAAAGACTCCCTAACCGCATGGTTGGAGACACTGAAGGTTATGACTGCAAACCGACAACAATGGCGATCTTGCTGTCACTTCTTATCAGACCAGAATGCTTGTATGCACAGTTTGATTGTGTACTCTATCTGTTGACCATAGAGGTTCGCTTTGTTGTCTCGTCCTTAAAAGTAGGTCCAATCCTTCCTTACACATCCTCACTTACCTTGTAAGCAATATGAGTTTGACAGCGATCAGTGAAGTTCGCTTCGCTGTATTACGCCGTACAATGATGATGATGCTATACGGCGTATAGACATGGTCATTAAGGGGGTGGGGAAAAAATAGATTGTCGGTGTTCGAGCATCGTTGACTACGCCGCACCGAACGAGTCTGGCGGGGAAACTTAACAAGTAATGCTGAGGTTAGGCGTAGAGTCTTAGGTGATCGCAGTCGCCCACACGAACAACTGGTTGACTTACCTAGATTACACTGTTTGGGACATGTATTACGAATTTCATCAAATAGGTTGTCACAGAGTGCGATTTTTTCCGAGGGACGTAATGAATGGAAAAAGTCATGATCTGGCATGAGGATATGAAAAGCCTGACCAGAAGACTCGGTCATATATGTCACGTAAGGCTTCCTGGATGAGAAACTCGGGATCACTTTAATCAATGGTAAGAGACATTGAGTGATATATCTAAATATCGTGTATTTTCTCAATTTCTTGGCAACGGTAGACTACCAGAATTCTTCATTTTCTCTTTGATACTACTTTCACCATTCCAATCTTCCTTCTGCCCCTTCCTCCTAAATGGGGTAGCCAAAAACAACGACCAAAACCACCTCACGAATGTGCGTGGTTAATGCTTGTTCATACTGAAACTAAAACTCTTCTGCAATTTCAAATAGTCAGTTAAGAGCTGAATTTTAGTTGCTGAGATGTGCCCTTGCACCGATCAGTTGTGACCTTCCTTTCACAACAAATCTTTTCGTTCATCTGTTAAAGCTTCAAAACAAAAACAAATAAAAATTTCTAGGAGGTGGTCATTGGTGAGCAGACCGGGTTTAACAAGGTGTTTCTCTCGCTGTATGAAAAATTTACCTCAACAATGTCGCCCAACTCTTCGTGAATCAAATTCAAATTGGGCTCATCACGAAACGTGCAACGAAATCGTTCGGAGAATTGTGCAACAGACAAGGTCCCAGATGGAGCTTCCAGGAGTACGAGGAGCACTTTGTGGGCGAGGTGTTTGATTTGGGCACGATCAGCAAGACAAACGTAATCCACCGTCCAGGTTCGGGCAGTTGTATCAGGTGCATCCAACTCTGCTGTCACAGGTGCATCTTGTGAGACCTCCTTAGGCTGTGCGGTCGGGGTGACCAATTCCATTTCTCGAGCATCCTGATTATCACTTCCATCGTCCATTGACTCTTGCGTATCGGTGGACTTTTTATCAGATTGTAGGGAATCCGTTGGAGCCAGTATAATACCCACGGACTCTCCGTCTTTCGTGGTCGGCGGTACCTGTGAGTGTGCTTTGTCCATACACACCGTCTCTATTCGTACTAATCGGGGCAATTTGGACAGTAGTTCCCTCACAGAACCGAACTGAAAGTCTTCCAAACAGAGGGCGTAACCCTGATGTTTCATGTACACGTTGAGAAGCTCGTCCAGCGGGATGCGCTTGCCCACTGCCGCTTCCAGCATTGATAAAAGTTGTTCTGCAACAATCCGCAAATGCCTTTGCCGTACCAGAGTGACAAACTTCTCCCCGTGTTCTTCAACAATCTGACCGGAAAAAACCGTAATACGTCTCAGGGGTGCCAGTATTCAATACCAAAGTCGAGGAGTAAAATTTTCTCAAGAAAACAAGAAAACAAGGATCAGTATCAGAGACATAGTGAGCAAAACATACTGGATTACTTCATGAAGTACCTTAGCAGAAATTCTAAAGAAAATGACTTACGAAGTTCAAAGCAAACATTTCTCACGTTTAACCTATGAGCAGTTGCAGAAACAACAAACTGGCATATACATCTCGTTTGCGGACTAGAAAGAGGCAACGGCTGTTTAATGGCACAAGAAAATTTCTTATTTGTTAAATCAAGAAACGTCATAGGTGTTGTTCTGAGATTTCCAGATAAATATTGCGTTTTTTCGCATCGAGAACAAGAAAGTACTGGATCGAATAATTAACAAAAAATAAATATCACTTAGAAGTGTTGCGTTCAGGTTAACCTATTCAATTTTCACTAGTAGTAGGCATCATACTTGGTATTCCTGAGTCTGGAGTTTGAGTTGTTGTTTTTTCTTGGGGGTGGAGTGGGGTGTGGCGTATTTTTACACCTCACAGAATAAATTCATTTCATCAAGATGGAACTACTTGTTTGAGCGCTGGATATCTGCTTCGTGTTTGTCGAAACTTATCAACAATGCTTCTCCTATTATCCGTCTCCAGAGCGACTCGAATCGTGGACCTTTCGGCTGACTGCTAAGAGAACTACCCATGAGCCATAGGACTGATTGTTTTAACAATGAGATAATGGCTATCTCATATAGTAAACTGTATACGTTAGTAACACGGCATTGTCAATAGAAAACCAACGTTATATTTACTACAGGTAACCGTTCTCAAGGCAAGTTTACCTGCGGTAATCGAAACATCGGCCTGTTATGATATCTGCTCACAGAATCACTTTCACATATAACACCACGTGAGATGTTTCTGGGTTTTTCCTTCTTAGAATAAATGGCTAGACCAATTGGAAATTTTAAATAACCATTAACGATGCACAGTTCTCATTCGCACAGATAAGATCAGGTTCAGGATATCATATCATAAACAAAAGCATCATATCTCACGTAGGTGGTGTAGGTGCTCAGGCTAATAAATACATCGTTAACTAAAACTCATTGTGATATCCAGTTTTTGGTTCATATCAACACTAGTCCCGAGAGGTATCATCTGTTTTGTATCTATGAAACCCGCTTACTAGATCTCAAGTGAACGATCACAGCCGAGTGATCCAGTGGTACGGATCTTGGGCTTATCTTCAAGCGGCTGGTGAGCTTTGAACACCCTCAGCACTGTCTTAACACTTCATTTCTGATACTTGACTGAACAAATTCAGCTTGACTGAACCAATGTTTCATGCTGAATACCATAAATTTAAAAAATTATCAGTTTCAATTTGTACAGCCATTACCGTGCATTTTCATGCACCGATTTTGGTTGCTGTCTCGCGAACGTTCATTTTGATCAAAGGGCAGAAGAAAGAATGAAATGTTGAGAGCAGACTCACAGTGAAACTAGGGAACTTATATGGACTGGGGTTGTGAGAACAATGTGTAGATGTACGAGCGCCACTGTTTGCGACACCCAGCCATATCACTCTGTACAGCTAACCACCGGTTACCATGATCTCGGGGTCCAAATCCAGGGAGCCTGAAGGCACCTATGTGGCCCAGTGTCCTCGTTAGGGTTTCTATGCCTTCATGCCAGGTCCTATTTTGACCACCCTTGGCTTTATTCCACACACTTCCTGCCTCGGCAAACATCGCTCGCCGTGGCAACCTATTTGGTGACATGAGTAATACATGCCCCAAATAACATAATTTATGGAGGTAGACCACTTGCTCCAATGGATGACAGCGATTATCTAAACTTGCGCCGAACCCCAGAACTGCTTGTCGGATTTCCCTTCCAGACTCGTGCAATGCGACGTGAGCAGCACCGACAGTCTATCTTTATCCTGTTTTTGTAATGATCAAGTTTCTGCTGCGTATAGCAGAACTGGTCGAACTGCTGCAGCATGCGCTCACTGAATTCAAGCTTCGACTCACGTTACCATGAGATACATTATCTCCTTGCTCATCTGTTTTTGTTGACTAGGGTATGATAGAAAAGCGGTTCAACACAATCATATCAAATGGTCAATAGTGGATTAATTTATCAGAAAAATCCATGAAAAACGATCGAACTGTAATGGAAATGAATGCTTGTTTGTTGGTATTTGTAGGCGCTTAGGCAAAACATGTATTTCATTACAATTTTTCCTCACTTCAGTGGAAGAATTAGTTATGGCTGAACGATTCGTTTTGTAACATTGGTATATATCTGTACCACAAATCTCAAATGAAAAGGATTAAGGTAAAGCATAAACTTGTAAGCAGTTCCCATAATAAACTTTGACTTTGATATAGATATATATAAACCACCGGCTTACGGACAAGCATGGTGTCAACACAACAACAATAATAACAATAAAAATAACAAGGGATGGGTGGATTGGACTACAGAACAGAGTGAAAAAAGGGTCAAACAGTCACAATGGAAAATCACAGGTAACGTGAATAACAATATTTTTTTGTGTTGATTGGTGGAAAATAGTAGTCATCTGTTGGAACCAGACGTGATACGTGCTCAGTAGCTAATGAACACCTAAGTCCGAAATTTCATCCCCAAAAGCCTGATGTGGCGTTATGCAATTTAAGTTGAAACATTCAGTGTTGCAATGTGGTCGGTCATACCGATAGTGTCCAGAAATCACGCAGTTTCAGTCAAAACTGTCCTATATCCCGATCGACATCTGTCAGTTCTGTTCACGGTGTGGCATCTGTCCATTTTCCCTAGAATTTTGTTCCCTCAGCATGGCATTTGTATTCCATAAAATATCTGTATGCAGTTAACTGTAAATTGATCTGGTTTCTCAAAGATCCACGGAGACTGTCCAAACAATTGCTTACCAGGAAATCTTGATTGTAGTCAACTCAGCCTGTGCATCTGGAATTGTGATACATGCCAAGTGAAAACCAAAGCAAAAATCATACACTGACAAAATGTGTGCCCACGGATAATGCACACGATGCCATTCACGAAACTAAGCATAGAAAAAATCGACTACCCATGGTAGAAGGAGAGGCTAAATAATGACATTCATTTGTTTGCTCATTTAGCCACACCGGTCGCTTATTTATTACAGTTGTGCTCCCTAGCCCTAGGTGGTGAATACATAGCTCCCGGAGTTGAGGGATTCGGGTGGCCGCCTGTCGGTTTACTGCTGGAATCCAGGCAAAGTTGCGAAAACGGTAAGTAACCTTGCCGTGCTTCTTCATGTACAACCGGACGAGCAATGCTGAGGTTAGGTGTAGAGTTTTAGGCAGTCGTGGTCGTCCACTGGATCAAATGATCGACCTCCATAGAATACGTTGTTTGGAGCATTTGCTACACATATCACCAAATAGGTTGCCACGGCGAGCAATGTTTGCCGAGCCAGGTAGCGGCTGGAAAAAGATCAAGGGCGGTGAAACTAAGACCTGGCATGAGGGCATGAAAACCCTAACCAGGAAATTGGGTCACATAGGTTCCGTTAGGCTCCCTGGCTGGGGACCTCGAGATGATGATCACCGATGGTTAGCCACACAGAGTGATATGGCTGGGGGTCGCAAACAGTGG